CTATGTAGTCAAACGAAAAAATTGTGCAGCAGGTGGGATTTTTCAAATAATTTGGAGAAAATTTCAAATTTAGGAACAATTAAATATTTTGAAAACAAAAAATCACATTGATAAATCAATGAATATTGAATTAAGTGCATGATATTATATCATGAGGTCCTGTTGTCGTATTTAGTCGTACAAATTGAAGGCGTGCTTGTATACAAATATATCTGCTCGAAATAAGTTTTTTTTTTTAATTAACTAGAATTAATTTTGAAAAAAAAATAGTATGATTATTTACTAGTGGAATTTTGAAGTTATATTAAAATAATATTTAAAATAAAATAATTAAAGTTGATTTGATGTAACAGTAGAAGAGAGATGATTCGAAGTGGTGTTTAGTTAAAATTATGTGGGTGAATAAATAATGAATGAAAATTGATGTGATGTATAAGAAAGATTGTTTGGTATTATTTAATTATATTAATAAAATTAAGGATAGTGAAGCAAGATAAAAGTTAGAGTTAAATTTTGAGTATGAATTTGATAAATTTATAAATATATACACACCCAGAACAACAAGGGTCCAACTTAATACACACAATACTAATTTACAGTTAAAAGATAAAACCGATCATACTACAACAGCGCCGACCTTCTCGCTACTACTACAGACATCATTGAAATCGCCTACTCATGTAGCCCATGCCGGGTTAATCGTATTTTGGGCTGGAGCAATGAACCTATTTGAAGTGGCTCATTTTGTACCAGAGAAGTTTATTTGTCCAAAACAATTCCAACACTCTCTTTTCCTAGCTACTAGGCATGTATACGAGTAGAGCCGAGCTAGAGCTTAGGGTGCTCGAGCTCGAGCCCTTAATGAGCCAAAAAACAAGCTCCAGCTCGGCTAGTTAAGGTCTCGAGCTCGAGCATTAACGATCCGATCTCGAGCTTTAACGAGCAAGACTATGAAAAAAATATATAAAAAATCACTTTTAGAACCTTATCAAGTCGAGCTCACCAAACGATCTTTAAATGAGCTCGAGCTTGACTCGTTAAGGCCTCGAACTCGAGCTTTAACGAGTCAAGCTCGAGCTCGAGCCGAGCTAGACTTGTTTAGTTTAACCGCACTACACGCTACCATTATTTCCCCAACCACAATTAAGTGCTCTTAAATTGTTCTAAAATTGTTCTTTTGTGCAATTAGCCAGCAACTAAGGTTAGTTTTGTGCAATTAGCCAGCAACTAGTGCTAGTTTCTCTTGTTTAATATACTCCTAACAAAAAATCTCTATTGTATTTTCATTTTACAAGTTAAAAAAACATAAATAAAAATGTCTCAATGTCATGGTGGTGATTCCGGTGGTCATTTCTCATCCCAATCCGGAGCCGGTCTTTGACCTATGTGAGTAGTGCAAGAACTATGATGCCAGTACTGCAAGATCTATGTTCCTGAAGATTTCAATGAAGGCCAACTTAATGCTTAATGCTTACATATAATGACTTACTGCACCAATAACAATTACTCAGAGAGCAAGTACACCTATATCAATGACTTGCCATTGCTTGTCCTCAAAACTAAAGCCATGATTTATTGCTTCATCACAAATCATAACGGGGAAATAAATTCATAAGCAGCATTTGTTTGAACAAGATCAATAAGTCCATCAAAAGCAGGAGAACTCGATTTCAATGTTAAAAATAAGATGCACCATTTGTGTGACTATGATTCAAGAGATGTTTCTTCACATTGTCTAACCGAACTTAGGACAACTTGAAAAAGGAAAATATATATCTCCACAATTAAATTCTCTAAATACGAAGAAGACTTGTTTCTTCTAAATCCACAATGACACCACATCAAAGGCACAATAAACTATTCCATGATATCGACAACTACCTTAAGGGCTTTCAAAATGAAGGACATTTACATTGGCCTAAATGCTTGTAATCTTTCACACCTAACGGAGAATTTTCTAAATCCATTGGGTACAGAAAATCCACACTTCAGTAGCACTATTAGTGACCTCTTGAAACCAAAAAAAAAAAATCCTAGCTCTTTTTAGCCAAATGCTCCTATTGGGATAAGATATCAAATTAACTATACTGAATGATGAAAAATCGTATCTCCTTTAGCAGTTTGACGTCAAAAATCTGATTTTTCATACACTTTAGCAGGAGAAACAAACTGCATCCAAAAAAAACAGAACAAAGATACTTCTTCTTTGGTTTTGTTTCCCTGTTAACACACCAAACCTCAACTGATTTTTTATCAAATGAATTCCACTGCTGATTCAAAAACACATTTCAGTGAGTATTCATAATATGCATTAATAAGTGGAAAAACTCACAAGCGATTCATTTTCATATATTGTTTGGCATAAACGACTTCAAAGCCTCTCTCTCGGATTCAAAAGCATTCTTTGTCCCCTGTCTCAAAAATCTTTTGCTTCGTGCCACCCGAATCGGTCTCCCCATAAACTCCTGTGACCAAAAACAAAAAACCTCATAAGATACTTCAAAAAATAGGGCAAAGAAGCAAAAAAA